AAACTTAAATCTACTCACTCGATTCTTCTCGCTCTCTCCTGGTCTCTTTCTCGCACACTTTCTCACTCTCTCACTCTTTCTATTTCTCACTCCTTCTCTTTACTTTCTCGCGGTCTGGCTCGGAATGAAGTCCTCGTGGCGCGGGTCCCCGTTACTTCTCTTGGGCTGCTCCAGGGGCCTCGCTGGTTGGCTGGCGGCTGAAGTTCGGAGAGACTACGCGTTTCGGCATTGGTCGGCGGGTCTGGCATGGCAGGGCATTGGCGGTGTAACGAGCGCTCGAACATAGTTGGCCGGTTCGTGGTCCTCGCTGCTGGCCGGGCAATATGGCGGCGCCCTGGGCCTGTCAGTCGCCTCGGTGCATCCGAGTGGTCGGGGCAAGAGGACCCCGCCGCTGGCTGCACGGGCTTAGTGGCTACCCGTGCAGCGGGACTGCACCGGGGACATATAGCAGCGGTGGTGGCTGACGGTCGTGCAGACTGTCGTGGCTGAGCCCATCGGTCGGTTTCTTTCTTCCTGCCCATGCCATTCCCGCGTCCCGTTGCCTAGGCGACGCAGCCTCTCTCGCTGGTTCCCTCAGTCGGTCCATCGGTCGGTCGGGCTGGGGTGGCTGTTGGTCCATGCTGTCTCCGAGCCATTCCTACTGCTAGGAGGGGAAGAGAGGGGGGTCGGAAGGAAGGGGAATGGGAACTTATCACTAACTTATTACTACCTTATTCTAAATGTTCCCTCGCGGTAACGGAGGCGAGTGGTGCCCTCGAGCCAGGTGGGTGGGAGGAGGCATGTAACGGGTCTTCACGTTACAATATATATATTGTTACGATCGCTCTCCAAATACACGGAATATGGTTATGATCTTACGTTCAATATTTAAGAGGACCGATTGAATGTTATAGAGATTTCGTGAATGCTGATTTAGAAAAGGTAGTTAGGATGGTCCGTTGGCCAGATTTGCCGGTGCTAAACAGTACGTCCACGCGTTATGTCAATTGTTCCAGCAGATAAGATTCGGTAGAAATAGGAAATAGGTTCCAGAGGATACCTTGATCTATACGAGGAGAATTGTTCTTTGAGTCTGATATGATATCCTGATTAATGAAACTAGAACGAATTTTAACTGAACGAATTGATTAATTCTTTGCTCGGGTATTCTTTATCCGTTTTATGTAAGTTAGATATTCTGGGTATGAATGAATTATTGTGTGTACCTGATTGTATGTGAGTGCACTCATAGGCTTACCCAATGATTTCCAAAGAATTCAACTGTTTCCTTTTATTGCTTTCCTTGGAAGTATGAAGATTCAATGAGGTGGTTTAGATGGACCCTCAGTCCAGATGAGATTGTAATCAGGGTTTTGTAAATGATATTGATGATGATGGTTCACAAAACTCGCAGATTAGAGTCACCAGGTATGCTTTACTTCTGTATGAATTTCGAAGAACTGAATTGAAGAGAATATAAGTTCCTAGAACTCTAGA